GATTGGCAAAATAAGTTCACAAATAAACCAAGTAATTTGTCGTTCTATAATGTTCAGAAACTGAGTAGGAAATCGATTTAAACCAATATAAGATATTAAACCGTTGAAACACTACGCTACGAAAACAATTTTCGAAATTTTTACAAACTTTACGCGTATTGTTAGTGAAATGATAACCCTGTAGCCAAAAACATCACCACTTGCTCTTAACAAACAATCCAAAGGGCTACTCTCTTCATATCGAAAATTGTCCACGAAAAAATTCCCACACCTAACAAAGCTACAAAATGTTAAAACTCCTCTCGAAAGAGCGGTCATGCAAACATTCTCCTCGCATGAACACGAAATGCTCCTGCAAGTTCACACCACTGGGCAGCCCGCGAGAGGACATTTAAGCGCACGCATTACTCGTGGGGGCAAGCGATATAATTCACGTGCGGCGTTTAAATACGCACGCGATGGGCGGAAGTGAGGCAGGCAGCCTCGTTCTCTGCGTTCCCATCTTCCGGATCCTGTTATCGTTCTGCAATCCGAGTGCAGCAATGCATGGTAATGGGGTGGTAGCCACGTATCATCTCCATTCTCCAAGGGAAACGCGAGTTAAGTTGCAAAGCCACAAAGCCTCTTCTGCCAATAGATGCATGTAAGTTTTAATAGCATTTAGATACGTGCCTACGACAAAACAATGTGAATCTAAACGAGGTACTTTTAAAATGTTCATATTGGCAATAGCAAAAGTAAATGTTTATTTACATTTCTTAAGTTTCGTTAACTTGAAACACGTAACACATGATTGATAACAAAATATTGAGCACATACTCTAAAATCCTCTAGTATAAATAATGTTACGAAGACACAAGGCAGCGTTCAAAAGACTATTTTTACTCCATTTTTATTCCAACATTAATTTTATATGAAAATAAGACTACGTATTTATAAGAAAATTATATTGAAATTTACGAAAAAAGTAATCAATACTCCTTGACAATGTATTAACAAACGAATTACAAGAACTTGCCATATACACTCTCTTACGAAACGCAAGATAAAACCATATTTTCTATCTTTCACTGACTAAAGTATTTAGTGATATTTATTTTTAAAGTGTTTTTAAGAGCTGTAATGAAACAGTGTATAGATAACGCGCTTTAGTAGTGTGTAAGATTAATCATTTCGATGATTATTACAAATCTAAACATTATTATTTCCGGGAGGATATTAATAATTATTACAAATCTAAACATTATTATTTACGGGAGGCCTTTTCCTTGCATTTAGATTTTAAACTGCTCATATTATATATGACAGTTAGTCCTGCTGACATGTATCACCTTTGCAATGAGGTAAAAGAAGGGACTTCAATTAACCCCAAATGGGAATCAAGCTGCTCATAGCTTATCAATAGTGTATGTTTTAAAATAACGAAATAACAAAATTCATTATTTTCAGTCATAAGGTGCGATATTAGTATTTAAATTTAATTCTTATACGTGATCGACATATATTCGTTACACCTCCATTAGATTCCTTACAATCTTTTACTCGACACTGTCTTAGCAAAGGTATTGCCCCTATCCTTTCCGTTTTCCAATATTTTTTCCTTTTCTCTATTTGCTCCGCCAACCAAACTTTCATCTAACACAATTTTGTAGATCTCAGACACAGCCATGTTTCTTCCTCCGCTGCTCATTGTTTTAACCCAATTTAACCCTCCCACGATTTTGCCTATTCTATTGCGGCCTGCTGCACCCACGCTCTCGACTTCATCGACATCTCAGTGCTCCCCTTGAAATCAGGGCCGTCGCCTCGACACAGGCTCTTCGACGCGTTGTCAAGTGGCGCCCTATAGCAAGACAGGGCGGATGCGGAGAGGGGCTCCTCAAGGACAGTGAAGGGCACGGCGAGACGAAAAAGACAGAGGCTCCCGCAAGAGGAAACATGCGGGAAACACTACTGAGACGTACAAGACGAATGTAACACGAAACCTGACATGCTTCTTTTTTGTTGTTGAAATTTGTACAGTCTACTCACATATTTCAATTCCTAGAACTGAAGACAATGGTTCTGACGTTATCTGTAATAAGAAGGGTGCAGTTGAAAAGTAAGACACTACAGTGCCCGGAGAGAAACATATACTAAGTAATAAAAAAGAAAAAAATACCTAAAAAGAAAAGTGGCATCGCAAACGTAAATAGCTACATAAACGACTTGCAAAAATATTTTGGAAGAAAGATAAAAAAAAATATTATCCTTACGATGGGTATTTCAGAAAGAATAAGAAACGTATACAATACAGCCATCTTCGTCAATCATCAAAAACTATTCAAACACTGCACTCAGGTATTCATAGTATCCCCTGAATGCAGCTACAAGGGAATCAAACATTAAACGTGACAGTAAACAATAAAACAAGATACCTCTGGCATGTCTGGCAAGATAATTCGCCGAACATTGGCACAGGGCGTCGACAAGTCTCGCGATCCGGTTCCCGGGCGCTGCAGAACCGGCCTGGCAAGCGGGCCGGCGGACCAACGGACGAGGGGCGTGGGACGATAGGCGAAGAATGAGCGGGGGAGGGGGCGTTGCATCTGCGGGACCGCCTGGCGCGGCGCGGCACGTCGCGGCTTCGTTGTTGCGCTCGGGGCCATGTTTTCGCGGTCACCAGCGGCTACCCGGGGCTACTCAGGCGGCGGTGGCAAGACGGTGGTAGCAGCTGGGGCGGCGATAGCGATGGGTGACACCGGTGACGGAGACGGCTGCAGTGGGAATGGTTGTAAAGAGGAGGAAAGGCGGTGGCGATAACTCCGACGGCGATGTGAGAGAGGTGACGTAGCGGGGAATCGATGCAGTGGCACTGGCAAGAAACAGCTGGGCAAAGGGGCGATAAAAGGGTGGTGGCAAGGCGCAAGGTGTGTTGTCCTATGGAAAACTTGACACACAGGAGATGTAGGAGAGGCAACTGGCTGCATATAGATAAATGGCAGAGTACTTGGGGGGGAGCTGTTCATTGTAGTTGGATAATAGTGGGGTTCTTGTTATGACGGCTGAGTTCGTTAGACGTTAATCGGTAATGGAAGTCGTAGTGGTAGAAACTGCAGTATGGGGAGTATGTTTCGTTTGACTGGAACGATGGCAAAGAGTGCTTCAAGCAAAGACCAAGTGCGGCACCCTGCTGCGGAGACGGAGGCAAAGTGGTCGGTGGTACCAGTGACTGCTAAGGCGAGGCGTGCGGCGCGGTGCGGCGCGGGTCAGCCACCCGGGCCGGTTTTGTCGGGGGACACTGCTCACCCAGCGAGAACGACCGTGACCGCTGCGCTCGGGTTCGAAGCACCGGCCTGCCGCGTCGGCGAGGGCCCCACGAACTTGGGATTCAATTAGTACCTCCGAACACACGAATCCGCCGACACACAGTTCTTTCCATCACAATCCGTTACACTAGCCTCAAACAACCGTTGGATATTGCTAACACTTGGTTTCGCTAAGTGCTGAAACACTAATATTGACATATTGAATTATACCTGTATCCACCGGCAAACGAATAACTCAGTTGTATACAACCAAATTTACCAAAGCGGTTAGCAAAGTGCACATCAACGGACTAAAGGTAATATCTGCAAATGAAATTCCTTATTTGTAATAAGTCCATCTTCGAAGCAAGCATTAAGATTATTTCGTAAACACGTTTCGTACTGTGGCATAACTTGTTTTGCTTTTGTTAGGTAGGTCGCTAAAATCACAGGCGACCTTATTGATATTTGTGAAATGGTACCAGTAGTAATTTCCGAACTACGAGTGAAACAACTTCTAAAATTAATATAAAGTAATTACATATGATCAAAAAATAAATAACGATAATTGACAGAAAGTGACGAATCATTCTCACACACGTGTCCATCCAAAACGATATTGTTAATTTCGTTTTCGTTAATTGAATCGTTAATTTATTGTACGGGATGAATGTGGAATGTTCCGCAGTATATAACATTTCTATTACAGTTATTCCATTACACTTTAGTGCATTGAAAAATTATTCTCTATTATGAATTATTTTCTTGAATCTTACACTCCGGAACAATTACGGCGGGTTCACCTCTTATCGAACTTTCTAGTCCCGATTCCAGACTCAAATTCGGTAAATCGGCCACATCTATTCCTGATTGTCGTCAGAGATGCATGCAGAAATTGTTCACAAGATACGAAAAACTTAAGAACAAAGAAACTTTGTAATTTCAGATGCGTATTTTCCCACATAAAGGATGCAGCGCATTGAAAGGTCTTCTCCGCAGGACGTGTCGTAGATCTGCGGGAGATCGGGAGAGCATGCAACAGCAGGTGCGTCCGGGATCCGTAAACACCATTGTCTTCGCTTTCCGGGGCTAAGTTGGTCACTGTGTTACAATGCTTTATTCTCGGAGTGATACATTAACAAGCGAACATCTTTACATTCTTTCAGACTAGTTCGTAAGTAGATCACAGACAAATTTACTTCATATGCGATCAAAGATTGCATTTCTCTATTAAGTGCTTTTGTTATTAATATCAAACATGCTTAATTTTGCATTCAACACAGACTGTTGCAGTCGATATAAGTATTACGGAAGAACCCACGGCATACAAGCTCAATGTGATAGTCTGGCATTCACATATCATATCATTCAATATATTAACTACGAAATATGGACACATTTCTACTAAAATTGGCATGTAGGTTGAATGAACTTCAACATTGTTTTAAAAAATCCCTAAACTTGGAAATTTTATATCTTATATTTCTGTTCATAACACTTAAATAAGTTCTCACGGGTTTTATTGCCTATGCATGATTTTTTTTAATTCTTCGATATTGAAAATCTTGGCATTCGAAAATTATGCCTTAATTAATTAATATATACTTAAATATATGTTTAAAAATACCTAAAAATTAAGTATTGTCGCTAGTTGTCAAACAGGTCCAGCCAAATCGAGGGTAATGTTACAACCATTGTCAAATGTTGAACTAACTACTGGCATGAGGACAGCGCGTCCCACGCCTCTTCATAAATATTCATGTAGTAGTGCGACTGCCGCCCGCCGGGGTGTCTGCGTAATTTCCTGCGCAGCGCTAATGCAGGGCGAGAGCCGAGGACGGTTGAGGACGGCGGAGGATGGCTGCAGGCGAGGGTCTTGCGAACGCCCAGCACGGAGCCCACGCGCTGCCGCCGCTCTCCTCTGATCTTTGACCGCGGGCGTCACATAGCGCTCGCATGTTAGAAGGGCCAGAATAGAATGCATCCATCTGACGTCTGCCTCGAATGCTCGAAACTAGTAAAATTACGCCAACTGGGCAGGCAGTGGAACAAAAAATGAGGATGACATTTGGGATTCCGGAGCAGGGCGGGTGTGATTTTCTCAAATACCGGAAACGTGTCAGGAGCTGAACGCTTTATGACGGTGAGTTTTTCATCACTTGACAAAAAAAAACTTCCAAAAAGTAAAAAATTCAGTATTGGGGATTATTTGAAACAATCTTAAAAAATTCCATTAGCCAATCTCAAATATACGAAACTAAGCTTTATCGGGGAGACCGTGATGACCTAATGACGCTACATCTGTTCCGTCGCACATCGGTAACTATCCCTTTTCACAATAGAGCCAAGCACATGTGACTATCCTTTGAAGAATGATTTACTACAAGCCAAACATTAGCTGGTTTTTATAAGCCTTCATTCTACACTAGACCACTATAGAGAACGTCGCGAGCATTGTGGAGCGACAGATAACTTACGACGTTACGCAACACACCCGCGCTCTCGGATATCGCATGACCCATCACTTGTTCTCCCAACATTCGAAACGAGTCAGGTCCTAACAGTATGCTAGATTAAGACTTCATATTTGTGCATTCTAAAACTAGTCACACACGAAACAGGGCTTCTAAAACTAGTCACACACGAAACGTCAAAATAACTGCTAATCCGTACGAGGAACATTCACGACCGTTGTTTTGAACCAGTCCGCAACCAGAATTTTGCTTCCGAAGGACCTAGACAAAAGAATGTTTGGCAGAACACCTTTTTAGGCTTAACTGACGTAAGAAACTTGTACGTTGCACTTCACGTAATCCGGTTACACAATTTTGATACACGTGATCTTAACAAGATCTGCTAGACCTTGATGCTTGATGCTAATTATAGTACTTTAAGCTACGAATGTAAACGTCACCTAAGCTTGTGAATTGTTCCAGAAGGCACAATCATGAACAGGTCATCCAAACGAGATCATTTTTTATTTGGTAAGTAGCTTGAGCCCCTCCCCCACCAGCCCCTGGAGACGATCCTGTTCTGAGCGTTCACACTATAGAAACCCAATCGCCGAGCGGCGAAGGCGTTCGTTCCGGCAGGGGTCTCTCTATACAGGCGTTGCCAATACATCGCGTTAGGAAACCCGCCCCGCTCGGCGGCGCCCGGTCCGGCGTCCGCGCCGCGCCGCACCAGCCACACGGCATGCAATCCCATTTTCGCTCGGAAAGCAGGTCGCCGCGCCGCCGAGTTTTCTTCGGGGGCGTTCCGCGCGCTGCCCCGGGACAACACACCGGCCGCAACGACGCCGGGGGTCTCGCGGAACAAAGATACTTTTTCTCACGTGGGAGACGAGTCCACGAACGAGGTCTTGACAAAAAATATAGCTGTGAACTCTTTCGGTTCGAGCGCGCTCTCGATAAAAAATGGAAGGACCTAATGCACTTTTACGACTGCTAGGTAGTCGCGTCGTAAAAGCAGCAAACGGAAGAGTGCGCCTTGGTTTGCGAACTGTAAAATTTGCACTCGTAAACATGTTGATTTAATATTACGTAAAGTCAAAATCAGACATTAGTATCCATTTCCTTGGTCGTGTTGAAGTAACGTAGGAAGATCACTAGTTACCGGCAATATGTTGCGTGTTAATGCCGTGATTGATTTATCTTGTTGAAGAGGAAACTGAAGAGGAGTACAATTCGAACCGTCCTTCCTGGAAGGAAACAAATCACGCGTGGACTTACCAGCACTTGGTGTGCTTGGGTCCGAAGATGGTGCTAGGCTTTTCCTTGGGGTACACCGAATCGAACTTCATGATCATCCTCTTGCAGGCTCGCGTCACTCGCGCGACGAACGATGCAGCGCCGCCGGAGCCGCCTCCGCCGCCGCGTCCGGCGCCGCCGCTGTCACTTTCGCGCGCGGGGGCGTGCACAAGGGCGGGGGCGGGGGCGGGCGCGCTGGGCGCCGCTGGGACCGCCAGCGCGCGAGTGGGCGCCCGCGGAAGCGCCCGGCGGATGCGGCCTGGATGCGCAGCGAGGTGCCGCCGCGCAGTTTCACTCTCCGCCCGCTTCGCCCGCTCCGCCCGCGCCGCCGACGGCCGCGCCGCGGAGCTCCCGCACTGATTGCAGCTCGACGCTCGACGCCGCGAACACGCCGACGCGGGGAAGCTGTGTCGCAATGTTTGCCTCTCCGAAAGGCGTTCCACGCCCGAGATACTATTATGTTCTATTTATAAAGTCAGTGTGTACTAAATTGACTCTCAACACGGTCCGCGCCTCTTGAAATAAATCACTGACGTCGCGGGAGGCCGCCCGGGCCGGCGAGACGCGCACGGTGTGAAGCGCACAACTGCGCAGCAAGGCGGCAGCAGGCAGCAGGCACTGTAAGGCGGCGCGCAGAACCGCCCGACTTCCGGGAGCGCGCGCCGACGCGGAGCCGTGCGTGGCCTGCTCCCGCGCCTGCACGGGCCAGCGCCCCAGCGGGCTGCCCGGGAGAGCGGCGGTCCCCCGGCGAGGGCTCCGCGCGGGACGGCCGGAGCCGGGCGCTGGCGTGCCGGAGACTGCGACTGCGGCGGCGCACGTGCTGCGGGGGAGGGCGCCGATCGACCCGGCCTGGCGCAGCCGCTGCCCCTCCTTGGGCTGGCGCCGCCCCGCTGCGACGCCACGCACCACTCCACGCTCCCGACTCCCCTCGGACGCCCACACCGCGGCTGCGGGCTGGCAGGTCGGCCGGGTCGGCGCGCGCCAGACACTGGAGGCGGGCGAGCGAGCAGCCGCCGCGCCGCCCGCCGCCACCGCCTCTGCCGCACGACCGCAGCGCCTCCGCCGCGGCCGCTCGCCTGCGCCGCTCGCTTCCGCCCGCCAGCCGGCGGCGCCCGGGCCCCGGACACACGCATTCGCCCCGGCGCGCCGGGCGGCTGGGCGCGGCTGCCGCTCCGCCCGGCTCTTCGCCCAATTGCCCCCAACGTCACCCTCCGAAAGACCGGTTTCCTCCACTCAGTGGCTTTTATGAAGCCGCATTTGCCAGGTGGAGCACTCCCAGAGAGAACTGAAAGGCTGAATGTTCTTGATTTCATTTCAGAACCATTACTACCCCTCTCACGAGGTCTGGTCTGTTTGTGTCTCAACACCTTCGTCCACAACCTCGCCTGAAATGTATTTCCCTTCATCAATGTGTTCGTATCGTATTTCGGTCCGAACTCGTAAACTTTCCACTGTATGAAGAGGCAACGCATACATACTGCCTGACTCCCTTAGATAACTACTGTCCTAGATAATTACTTCCTTCTTAGTCATTCTAGACACATTCTATATTTGTATAATTGAGAAATTTTCTTGTTAACTCAAATTTCGTTTTGGATTTCTTCTCCAGTTCCTGTTGAAAGAGGTAGAATATCCTTATCTGACGATGAAGTAATGTACCCACTATTTTCGCGGCGACTGTTTACTAAATACGAACCCTTGACAATATTTTTCATTTGACATTTTAGAAAGCACATATTCGTACTGCCAAAATTTTATTCCTTTCACACACAACCCTTCTTTTCCCTTACAATGAAAGCTTTCGAGACCAGTACTAGAACCTGTAGTTGCCTTACTTTAGGAATCTTGTTCGAAAGTTGCCTTTAATTGCTAAGGTATTATCCACAGAACCTCAATTTTTACACTGAATTCAGTGAACTTCAGAAATTATTTCATTTTAATTTTTATGTTCATTTTGAGCAGTTTTTCCTCAGTACCCCGTCTCCAGAGTTTGTGAGGGATGTAGTAGACACTCATTCATACTCGCAGAGCTCTTGGGAAAAGGGGACAATCTTTTTAGGGGATTTTTTATTGATTTCTTCACTCGATATTATTTAACTCTCTCTTTTAAGGTGAGGCATGTACAAGTGTAGAATGTGATTGAAAATTTGTATTCTGCTTCTAAATCATTTCTTGCCATCCAGATCTGCATTTCGTGTCCTAAAACACGGTTCCGTCCGGCTTAGAGTCAGAGATTTCACATTCCACCTGTGCGAGTTGAAGATGCAATGATTCCGCGCATAATTTGTAATGGACTATTTCTCTGCTTCGCTAGAAACTCTCATGTATCTCATTTCCCTACAATTCTCCCTCTCAAGTTACCTCAGCTAATCAACGTGAGATAGCCATTATTGATTGTAGGAGTAGTAAATAAAGTTTCAAATATTTTTCAGCAATCATAAAATAAAATATTTAAAAATAGGTTTCATTACAGTGCATTTTAAATCAGAAATATTATGTAGTCTTTGCAAATGTGGAATTTTTAGGTTTTGTTATCCTAAGAAAAATACCAATCTATATTTTTATCTACATATACTAACCTACTTTGTATTATTTTGATTTACGCCACTTGTAGTTATTATCAATTAATAATCAAAATATTCACCCGAATTTCTAAGTGAAAGGGAGAGGTGGCTCAGGGCATCAACTGATGTCACTTCAGTCCCTCTGAACGGGATGTCCTAAGTTCGAGAACCCCACCATAGTTGGATTTTCGAAAGTAGCTTATAAGTTAGGTCGAATTCAGTCGCTGTCTGGAGGAGAATTCTAGCGGCCGTCTGTTCTGATTGGTAGTTTCCGTAGCTTCTCCGGTCAACACAAGGCGAATGCGGCTGAAGAACGCTAACAAACGGGTCACGGATAGCGCACAATCTTTCCTTCCTCTTTCTTGACCTATTGTCTCCCCTTATACACACTTACACTAACACGCACTACACAAGCCGGGAGACTGATCGGGAGCTTACAGCTTGTCCCGACTGGGAGATCACCGCCACCTCCCGAGCAAAAACATGCACTACACTTACAGGTCTAATGACCACGGGTCGTTGACGGATCCGAAATCATTAAAATTATCATTCAATCTAAGTGAACATTTGTTATTTCACATCATCTGTAACTCGTGTCATAATATGCGGCAATTTCGACGTGGTGAATGGGGCGTTGCCGACGCCGGACTCCAAGGCAATTCGGCGATGGGATTCGACGTGGCTGACACCACGAGGATGTTATCGCGATGCAGTTATCGCGAGACAAATCGAAGATATCGTGAAGCGAATGCCTCGCTACGAGTACAGAGTAAGTGGTACCACCCAGAAGTACGCATTGTTTAGCTGTCTTTTGGAGGAGCGAAGTAAACCAGCCCCAGGTGCCACTTGAAGGAAAATTTGTATCTTCCAGCTCTTTCATTCACTCCTCCTTTTACTAGGTAGCTTTGAGATCGACATAGCGATTTGATTGTATTTTCTTCCCCCCTTGAGGTGGCATGGCTCCTCTGAATGCCCTAAGAATTAACGTCCGAATGCGACTTCTAACAGATCCCACAAACTTCTCCGTTTCCGGCCTTGGAACCTGGGTAGGAGTCTCACCAGCTAGAAGCTACCAGTTTTGATGTTGGTCCAGTCAAAAATTGTATTACTCACTGAAGGATCGGGAAAATACCTCTCAATTACCTCTCAATTGGCGGGGGAAGGGGAGATTACATTCAGGGTGAGTCGGGACTAACTGGGGACCAACCGTACGAATCTGGGTGGCCTAGGATACCCGCATCACCTTCGGTACTAACGGCCTGGATACTGCCGAGAAACTTTGGAAACCTGGGCGATTCTACTCCTCCACAAGTTAGGCCGCTCCGAAGTTTCCCGTGAAGGGATCGGTATCGCGACGATCTAAACGCAAACGAGAGCGGCACATGCGTCAAATTCACAATAAACCTCAACGATATGAGGAGTCGCGAAGGGAAGAGAGAAATAAAGCGTCAAAACACAGAACTTCAGTATACATTTGTCGAAATCAATGCACCCCTAGCCAGATGTGTTGCTTTGGACGATCTTTGGTCTGTCATTATACGAACGAATAGAATCATCTTGTATCGTTTCTGAGCGTTTTTGTTATATCAGCCCCTTTCATTTTACTTTATATATATATATATATATATATATATATATATATTCTCGTTTATTTATTATAACATTTCGCAGTTTTAGTAGCCTTTGCATTGTGATTTTAAGTAGCCTTTGCATTGTTGTATTTCAGTTCCAGTCATTAAAATCAGTCTACTTCGTTATAGTGAACATAAGACACTGTCCCCGTTTCACTTACATTATAAATAAGCATAAGCAGATTCGGACATAGTAAACCTGAACCTGGGCTGTAGTGAAAGTAGGATATACAACGTCCTGAACACTAATTCCTTCCAGGAAAATAATACATGACCTCAGTGCCACAAATTCCAACACTAGGCATTCTGAAAAAAATGTCATCGGCCAAATGTCATAATAGAAGAAAGTCTCCGCTGAGGTGAAGGGAGGGGTCCAGGAATGAGTCCCTTACTGATGACCATATGCGACTCAGTTTCACTACTGAAAGAAAGTCCGTGTCCTGCGTGGGCTACAACAAGCGGCGGCGACGACGCGCGTTTGCGAACTTCAGTGTCAATCTTGGAGTTACTTGATATTCCGCGGGACAAAGCTCGTTGAGTTCTACGTAGGTGACAGGAAGCACCCGACTGCCCCAGCGATATCCGCCGTGCTAAGCGGAAAATCGAACAGTTTCATTAGCCGCTGGAGCCATCCCGCTACCGAAATCATCTCATATGTAATTAGACGAATAAAAGAGCCTTCGTAGAGTGATACGGTATTCCAACATTGCAAGAGGAATCTAAGGATCTCAAGACTGCTTAACGATACTTACTACTGAGAACAATGCAGAATCAAGTACAGAGAGAGCACAAATTCTGGAGAAGGATCTATAGAAATTGCAAATGAAAATAAATAAAGATTCTGAAATTTTCAGTTCGTTAATGTACTATTTTGCCGTATCTCTGTATTAATAAAATCAATTGTTATCGAGAAATTCTGTTGAATTTTGACATCATTGAATATAGTGACCCAAAATGTTAATGCCCAGAAGTTCACTATAACCGGAGTCGACTGTATGTATAATCTTCTTCGCAAATCCACGCACTAATTTGAACATCACAATGTGCCCTCAGCTTCGTTGATGAGTCGCAACATGAACGCTGTCCATTTTGTTCCTGTTTCTGCCCTGCTTGGCATTCCCGTAGTTTTGATTGCCTGCGTGGAATGCCGATCTTTCAACATACTTTACGTACGTTTACAAGTTTCCCTTCTACTGCAATCATGTGGAAGTGCCACGAAGCGGGTTTGCTTGGCAGGCAAAGAGAAACTGGTGTAAGTTACGAGTGGTTTACACCTATGTAAGTGCCCTTTAGAAAACCATCTGGTGAGTGTTTCGCATAGCGACTACCGCGTGGAGTACACCATCGCTGGTGCATTAGAACATGCGTCAGGTAATGCGCACCGTCGCACGAGACACGCACATCCTTTGAGCTCCTTGGAGCCATGCGCGCCTGCACGCACGCCCATCCATTGACGCAATTGCGTCGAGATCTCCGCCGTCTCCTCGTCCAGCAATGCGTCGCCGAGCAGTGGGGCGCATTTGTCTCGCGGGCACCGAGGCACACCGGTCTGTGAAGGTAGCCGAAACACCCGAGCAGACAAACGTCAGTTTTTTTTACCATAATCTGTAGATAAATAAACGGGAATGTGAGTATGTGTGTCGCTCATAAACGCGCATAAACCTCTCAACTTATTTCGCTAAAATGTTCACACTTTGTTTCTAATCGTAATGGGAGTGTTTAAAGAGTGGTTTGAATTAAATCGGACATGTGGGTGGTAGGTGATGATTCGTTTACTATGACTCAAGCGCCCCTGGATTCTACGCAACCTGCCATACAGTTAAGGATTGATGTCTTCACTGTATATGTGTATTTTGCCCCTGCGATTGTGTAATATCGGCCGGAATTATTACTTGAATCGTGGACAAGTAAATCAAATTTCTCTAAGATTGTGTCATAGCGAACGCATGCCCGAATTTGAGAGAGAACGTTTTAACAATAGGATACTTGACAACCATGTCCAAACCAGGGCATAGAACAAAACCATAGTTGCGAGAGTCTATTATCTATTAGAATTTTTGCACAGCGTAGCACACATTTTTAAATCTTCTTCTTCCCCCTCATGCATTTGGCCTGTTGATCCGTTGCGACTCTTATCTATTTTGGGGTCTGACACTTTTAAATCATTGTTTAAATGAACCTAAAACTATAATCGAACTTGAACTACTAACAAATTAATTTTCTGGTGACTCATACTGTTGCGTAACGTGTGGTACATTTTGCACATAATTATTCTCCTTGTATAAAATGTATAATCTGTTAAATAATTAATTATTTAATAATCTGCGAACCTCTAATTGTTTGAACACGCCATTTCTTCGCTGCCACACGAATGTTTCACTTTACTGTAAATTTTAAATAAAATGTTTAAAAACTTAAGGTATTCATTGACGAATCAATTATTCCCATACATATTTATTGGAATAATAAGAGTAAAGAGAACAAGAGGATACTTGAAGAACAATGCCGACGAAAAATACGTAATGATTGCAAGTCTTGTAATTGATGGAAATTGATGGCAATTGATGTTTGAACGCAATTAATGACATTAATCTCTTATAACAAAAGCATATAATATATTAGTTTGATTCAAAATGTACTGCTCTTATAAAATTATTTTGTAAAATTAATCAATTTCTGCAATAGCCGTAAACAATTTAAAAACGGACGCGATGCGTGCGACGAGTGCGCGCGCTTATGGCATTTTCAGGCTTGCTCGTGTACTGGGAGCCATGTGTCGTGCGGGCGGCGGATGCTGGCGGGCGCTGCGGTTGCAGGCGGCGACGGCGCTGGCAACGAGGGTTAGACGAGGGGGTCGGGGGGGGGGGCGGAGGCGCAGGAAGCGGCGCGACCTCCGCTGTTGCCGGCGCTCTGCGCTGTGGGCGGGGGCACCACCCACACAGGCTGCTTGAAGAGGCGGCGAGCGGAGAGGGGCGAGTCCCAAGGGAAAACATGCGGGAGGAACGATTATGCAGACGGTAAGTATTAGGTATGGCAGATGATGTGAATGTGGAGATGGATGTGATGAATGAAACAAAGCGGTTAGAGGGGGCTTTGGTGATTGCAGAAGTGAAGCAACTCCCTCTCTTTGTCTCGTCAGTGTTAAGAAAAATGAGATAAGATTGATAGTGCCGAGCCAACCTCACATTCATTCACCAAAGGACTTATTTCATCAATTCATTCATCCGCGAGAGGATGTTAGGGGGGTGGAAATAGAGAGAATGGAAAACTACACAAGGTCGCAGGAAAATATCGGAAATTGTGAGGCTGTGATGACAGGGTGGCCATGGAATTGAATCGGACGTATAGGTGAGCGAATCCAGGGAAGGGATATAAATAGCCGATGAATTGGATTAGTTGACAAAGGCTCTTGTATTGTTATTGGCAAATAATAAATCACATGGTTATAATTTGGAAAGACAGAAACAAAACAGATTTACTAGAAACTGTTGCACAACCGAAGTTAGCGATTGAAAAAGGAAATAATTGACTGGGACAATACGAACAAGACAGGAAAAATAATCCTCCTTCTATGAAAGAGGATCTGAGGTGATATGCAAAGATTTGTGTTAGAAGAACTAGAGGTAAAGACACTATACCAACGTGTTAGTGGATGTGTTTTAAGAGGTAAGAGTAGCCAACTAACAACAAAAGCGATTAGGGAAATGTAACGGGAAAAAAACTTGTGAAAATGCTTTTGAAATATTCAACAAAACTTTCTTTTATTGAACAAGTCATTTCTCTGACAAAAACAAAAGTTGTCTAGCTTCAACGTGTCTGAAAATTTCTCATATTTATGTAACACATGTAATTGGCGAAGTTAATAAATAAAGAATAAAAATTGATATGCATACATAAACTAATATAAAACATTACAATGTGATTTCAGTCTGCTAATAATACGAACCAAGTTGAATATGGGAACAGATAATTTTTATCATAATTTGAAGTATATTGTTGCACTTAAGAAACCAAAATTCATTTTTTTGTTAATATCTAAGAATTCAATGTGCTAATTTTGATCAGGGAATTAATTTACAAATAAAATTTCGAGTACACATTGAAATGTACTTTTCAGCTTTCTAAAAGTATTCATCAAAAATTCATGATGTTTTGATTCTATTTTATTATGTAGCACGTGTATTTATGTTTCATAATTACAAAAACATAATAAATAACATAATTTTAATGAAGATCTTCGAATTGAATAATCAGAGATGAAATATTTAACTATTTTTTTAAGGTTGGTATCGTATTTGTTATCATTAACCACACAATCACGAACAACGAACAAAAAAGATGGAATATGTCCTTAAAACATTTCTTGAACTCAAGACAACTTAGCTTTGTCATGAAGTGGAGATGTTTCATTTTAGTAGTTATACACGAATACGCTTCATATCTTTATCTGGATGTTATCAACGATCAGAAATATTGTATATTATTATCTACAATTGTTATTTAAAATGATTTAATAATACTGAAAATTTACTGGGATCATACTGATTTTGTCATTTATTATGAATTGAACATTATCTTAATATTACAAGGATCGTGGAAATTACGTGGATCAAGTAATCTCCTCTAATGACACAATTTAGTATTCAATGTATAAATCTGAAGTGTACTAATTCTGAAGGTACTATGCAAGAGGCATCATCATTTCCTCTATCATCATCATCAAAATCATTACGGTTATCCAATACTTATTTAGCCCACATAGATTCTTGAAGGCATGTTAAAAAGTCAATAAGCAACTTCTTGAATTGACCATTCGTATGAATGCTGATTTAAATAGTTAGGGGGATCTAATCTCTTAAAGTAAAGAAAAGAGCAAATATCTTACAAAGATTGCTCTTGCCGTAATTTGTTATATTGTACAACAAATATTGAGAATCGGGCATAACAATAAAATTCTATTTGATTGGTGCATGTTACGTCGTCGTTGCACATAACGTGAGAACAATAAGAATTGTCTCTGGAAGGGAAAAGAAATAAAGAAACTTAACATAGTATAAGAAAAGTATGTAGTGTCATCCGTGATAGCAAATAAGGAAACGTGATCGGCAAAATTTCTGCCGTCAAGAAATAATATTTTAATTACACTGCACGGTTACCAAGATGCTTGTGTTGTTCATTTTATATCAGGCAGAGATAACTTTGTCGAAAAGAGATAATGGCGATCTGGGACAAATAATTTTCCCCATTACGAGAAAGCGATTTTTCGCTGGGAGGAGAGATCTGGATATTATCACGCAATGGCACGGAGAGTATCGGAGAGGCTGCGGAGGGGGAGATGGAAGGGGGAGATGGAGGGGCAGATGGAGGCGGAGGGGTGGTTCGCGCGCAGGGGCAGGGGCGAGAAGCAGGGGCAGAGTGTGACAGAGTCGAGAGGCGCGAGCGGGGCTGAGTAGTGAAGGGGGCAGGGTTGTAGGTGGTGGTGGGCAGCGCGGAGAGGGCGTGGCGGGGCAGGAAAGGGCGGGTGGGCTGCTGGTGCTGGGGCTGCTGAGCGAACTGCCGAGGCTGCGCGGGGCGGAGCGCGGCGGCGTCGCACGAAAAGCCACTGCAGGTGCTCGGCCGCGCCGCGCCGCGCGCCTGACGACGACCTTCGGTTTTACGACCCGTTTTGCATACATTACGGCGCACGCGGGCGGGCAGTTCTGGTGGCGGCCGGTGCTCGGGGTAGGACGCAAGTCACACAGGAATGCGTTTCGGAGTATGCGACCGAAATCGCGGCTGGCATTCATGTGGTCGACAGCTAAACTGTTACAGGATTTATAGTACTCGTAATAGTATTATTGTGACACTACATGTCAATGTTGCACTGAATATTTTACTTAACAGAGATTATCAAGTGATAAGAAATAAAAGTATAAATAAGGTCGTGAGGTGTCCCTAAGATTTCGTTCGCTATCCATGGACCTGGGAAAAATCGATTTTGATTGAAACGATGTGTCCTATGAATAAAAATGAGCACTTGCTCAGGAGTACTTGCTGCGGAGAAAAGTCATGTCTTGCGAGCATTTGCTCGTTGTGAACAAATGATAGTGCAGCCTAAGAGTTTTGAAAATTGGTTTCTTGAGTAACAAAGAAGTTTCATACGTTACGCGCGTCGGGCACGATTGTGGGGAGCAAAGAGCAATGTTTTGTTGTCTCGTTCTTTAAATTCGAATATGAGTAGCAATAACGAAGAACAGACGCCAGAGGCTCAGCTAGTTTTTGTCGACATGCTAAGCGAATATAAAATTATTTTTGAACAGAGACAGCTCCCGGATGTACGCTATGGCCGAAACCAAACATTTATAAAGTTTAAAAAAACATTATTCCGAAAAATTCCGAGTAGAAAAGAGCGATGGCCAATTAGCCTAGAAGATACGTAAAGATACGCGATATGAAAACGCGCCTGAAAGAAAACGCCGATAAAAGTCGTACCAACAATACATTGTCCTTTTCGAATCTATAAAGATTCAAATAGGCTACATCACTAGAATTTCGCCTTATCTTGTATTTTTTTAGTCCGCTGCATCTGCATATCAACACACGGTAAAAAAATTGTCCAATTTACCCTTACTTTTCAAACCTGAATCTGCTACTAAGATTCCTCCGAAATTTTGGAGCAAGTGCTTACTCTAGAGAGTAAACGCTTGACTTTATTCATACAATTTCTGAGCAGTTGCTCGCCAGTTGAGAGTACGCTCAGAGATGGAGCAAGTACTCAGAGACTGAGCAATTGCTAATCCACTTTATTCATACGAAACTGAGAAGGATCTCCGAAACTCGGAGCAAATAGTAATATCTTACTTTTACTCATACCACCCTATGTTTCGATTTTGATTGAAAACTACAAAGTTTATTGTGTTTTCCCACATATTTTCTTACTGAGCATAGCAACTGAATTGTCATGGTCAGTTAGCCAGTGCTTACTATACAGCTCATACGAGTATCATGCAACATCAATGCTTCAAGGAATTAGCTCCCCACCTTTTTTATATTTTCTATTGAGTGTTGCGTTATATCAACGTGAACACCAACCTTTTTTAATATCTTTTATACAGTGTAGTACAGTGTGTTATAACAGTGTTATTTATATCCATACTATGGTTTTGCACTATTCATGAAGACTTTTTGTTTAATTAGGTGTTTAATTTGCTGGAGTGTTAGAAGAGAGTATTTTATCTGTTGTTCTTGAGGATTGTGCGTACTCATTTTTTAAGATCAATTTTGTGTGATTTCATGCAGCATTTTGCTGCTGCAGACCACTCTTCATACACATACACATATTGCTACGTCTTTCACAACCAGTGGTGTAGCTTCCTATTAGACTGCAAGGTGGAACCTTCCCAACTATTTTATGAAAAGCAAAGTCTTCTTTTAATTTTAAAAAAGTTAATCACTTTATATTGTATTTAATGATGATTACCTCACTTGTCGTCACTTGTCGTCTGGCTTTGTAAGTTTGGCATTTTGTACTTCCCGCTGAATTGCGAACTTTTGCGAGAGAAAACGATGGCTCTGGCCTTTCGGAGCCTTCAACGCATGCGAAGTACGTGCGCCCGGTTGACGCAGATATTCTGTGAAGACGGGCTCGCTGTAGCGGACCTTCGGCAATCCGCGAGATCAGTCGTGACCAGTGGCGGGCCATCTCTCGCCAAGACACTCACACACACCACATCACAGGTGTCAGGAAACAGAGGGCTGCTTCCGGTATGATTTATGTCAATCGGTACTATTCACACGCAATTCTTTTAATTCACTCGTTTGAAGAGAATGTCTTGTAGGTGGTTTGAAAAATTGATTCTTAGTATTTTACTTATCAACCAAAATAAATACTAATTATTAGTAAAAAAATTTAAAAAGCCTCAACGACTTCTGTGAGTGATAGGTACAAAAGAGAGCAAGATAAATCAATTGGAAATTATAACTAACATGTTGCCCACCCATTTGGTTCTATCATTTTTAATCGTTTTTTGCGGACAGTGAAATAAAGGTGTGTTCGACACGAATGTGGACCGCTGCCCTGGCGCTCAGAGAGTCGTGAAGTGAGGCCGCCCGGCTGCCTTGGTATAGTGTCCAGATGCAGCTTGACCGTTCGCCACCCTCGCGCCCCTGTGCGTGCGACGTCTGCATACGCGGTCAGACAATTAGACATCAGTTGAGTTCTTGCAGTACTGACGAACACACATAAATATTGTGCTTATTCTATATTATTGTGGAGTTTAAAAATGAATTAAGAAAATGTAATATCTATAAAGAGAAGACTGAAATTGAAGTAAAAAGAACGGGTGGGAGTTAAAAAGAAATAGAATTGGTAATAAAAATAAAGGCTTAAACAAACAATGTCCGAGACAACAAAACATTCGCAAAACCAAAAGACTAAGATGCGATACAGGCACAAAAAACACAGACAGTGAACTCAGTTCTAAAGAACGCAAAAACGTACATTTTATTTCAAATAATAATATTTTATTGAGTCACATATACAATTACAATCGTGTATGATGAGTCAAATATGATGTGTGTGGAGGAATACAATTGCGCACATCTTCTTGAGTGCAGAGAGTGAAGTTATAATAACTGTCCAGAAGTAAAACAATCACAGCATTTGCTCAAAGCAAGGAGGTTATAACCTTCTTGGCTCAAAAGACGAGGGAATAGAATTGCATTGTGAGCAATTCACTAGTGGGCATTCCACAGGGCATTCACTTATATCCACAAATGTTGTAAAACGGAACTTAGGAGTTTTTGGGGATTACTAGTACTAGTAACTTGCAACCTTTGGGAAACGGGCCCCAGGTCCTAGCTCGCGCTGCCACTCCCGGTGCCGTGCGTGCCCACCAACGCGTGTTCGACAAGAAGCCGGTCGCACGCGTGCGTTCACAGCTGCAACGCCTGCGCCGCGCTCCCTCCGTCGGTGTCAAGGTCCGAATGTGGAGCGGTTCCTCGCACGCTAACGGCTCCACGTGTGACGCTTCGACTCCTCCTTTACTGCTTCTGCTTTTCTTTTCTTCCTCCCTCCCTTTCTTTCTTTCTTTCCTTTAAAGCTGGAACGTATCGAAGAATGACAGAGTAAATTTTTTTAAAGTCTCATTTACATTGCGGGACTGAAACCTCTAATGCGAGTGATTTTCGAGTGACACGTATTCCAAATATCGAGGCAGCGACTCGAATTGAAATGGTCGACGTGTGAATTTGATATCCATAATAGAATGCTGTTCAAATAGATGGCTAATCATTATGTCCAGAAATGAGATTCAGAAATAGGTTTTGGGAAACAAAATTCCATGTCATATAATTCTCTATTTCATTATACAACTTATGTAACTCTTCTTAATTAATAGAAGAGCAAAAGTGCATTATCAAATACTCGTGTTAATAATTTCTGTTCTGTTCTGAAAACAAATAACTTATGAGAAAAAATGTGCGGTGAAGGAAGACATGAATGTTGAAAAGAGAACCTCACTTGTATTTATATTTAGAGGCGGTATTTGATCTCTAGCATGCAGTAAAACCTTGACGTAACGGAACTTCTAAGCTGTCCTTTATTTATTCACAGATTTAGAGTTACTATAATAGATAAAATGTTTGTAGAGAAAAGGTATATCACATTTCCTGACAACATTACGCTTTACACAAAGTAAACAGCTGCACACAAAATAGCAAAGACGTGAATACGCATGTAAAATAACCCATTTGGCATGGTTACCATCACAATTCACAATTACCTAAAATACGTCTTAGGATGGCTTTCACAATGAACATGTGCAAATTTTCGAGTACGAATGTTTTTACTCTCTAATTGAAGAGTTTTCTATCTCGTAAAGTATTTTTTTTGTTTCCCACAATTAATTAACAATGAAGCAAGGCTCAAAACTGTAAATTAAGTGATCTGTATTGTCCCATGCAAAATATTAAACATGTTTCATTACCTCCTGATAATAATACGTCCAAAACATTTCAGAATGTTTCTCAAGAGGAAAATTCTTCTATCAATTCATTGATTTACATTTCGAATTTGTGTCAATATATAATGAAATCTATTTGTTCTAATGAATATAATTGAAAGTGTCATTAAGAATAAATCGAAAAGTATTATTCTTGTAGATGGTTATCTTAAATATTGCGTAATTCATATTTTTAATAATTAATAGTAAATTACCCGATTTCAGGACCATTACTACTACCGGGACAACTGGGCAGTGTACCCGAGGTTCGGAGCTTAAAAATTCTAAAGGGAAGAGAAAAATATCTCAATTGACACGTTTTTCGTATTATTGATTTTATTTTAAAAAAAATTAAATATCACTATTTTTTTACTTTTAAATTTGAAATTTCACTTCTTGCGAGGAATAAAAGTAACATACATCATTCATGAAAGAGATATTTACAGAAAAATGTTTAATTTGATTAAAATTATACTTTAAATATTAAGAAAATGATCAACCGTCAATAAACGAACTTGGCGAAGGCTGGGAGAAACAATAGGGGTCATTTTTATGTTGCCCCAGGGCCAAGTAGTAACATAGAAATCATATAAACAAATGATAGATGGATTCGAATGTGATTAAGGGGCGAGGCGAAGCACGGGTTGGGCCGGTGCGCGGCGGGCAGGGAATCGCGTGCGTCAGGGCTCATTCCAGCGGCGGTCGAGTGCGGAAAAACCCCGCACGGTCGTTTATGCACGAACCCCTCTGCGCCCGACACACACCCGCCCTGCGGATCCCAGCGCAGGACCCCAGCGCAGAAATTT